GCTATTATTCAAATTTATCATAAAAGATATTTACGCAAGCCTACAGCGAGTGACATCCAGCAGTTGCAGGCGAGGCATGCCGCAAAACACGGCTTTGTCGGCATGCTTGGGAGTATTGATTGCACGCATTGGGAATGGAAAAATTGTCCCACTGCGTGGCACGGTCAATTCTCCCGGGGAGATCATCCGAAGCCTACCATCATGCTCGAAGCTGTTGCTTCGAATGACTTGTGGATTTGACATGCTTTTTTCGGTGTCGCGGGCTCGAACAACGACATCAACATTCTCGATCAATCGCCTGTTTTTGACGATTGGGTTAATGAGACCGCACCGGACTCCTCTTTTGAGCTTAGAGGGACGCTTTACAAGCGTGGATATTATTTGGCTGATGGAATATATCCGGATTATTCCACGATTGTCAAATCTCTCTCCGAACCCATGGGTCTTAAACGCCAAATCTACAAAAAAGCTCAAGAAGTGGCAAGAAAAGATATTGAACGAGCCTTTGGGGTCTTGAAGGCTAAGTGGCACATTCTAGATCGTCCGTCGAAATGTTATTCTCAGACAAAAATGAGGAATATCATGTACGCACGTATTATTCTTCATAATATAATCATAGAGGATAACGGGTCTGCGATTTGTCAATACAACCCGGACGAGGAGGTGCCTATGTACGAAGAAATCACCGAAGAAAAGAAACGACGCAACCGCCAAGAAATTCGAAGCCGAGAGATTCACAATGCACTAACGGCGGATTTGATCGAGCATATCTTTAGTCGTTCGAAAAATTAGTAATTTCTTTGTATTATTGTTTTATTATGTAATTTTTTTTAATGAATGTAATTTTTTTTTAATGTTTTTTTAATGAATGTAAGATTTTTTTTATAATGAATTAATTTTTTTATGCACTAGTGTCATTGCGATTAATTAAACTAATAAATTAATTTAAATTTATAAATTTAAATTTAGAAGATGTATATTTAAAAGTGTAAAAAATGAAGGTTTGAAGCCCCAGTTTGAAGCACCGGGGCTTCAAAACCATTTCCAGTGAATTTTGGGTGTAAGTTAAAGCTGACGTGGCAGAGAGAGAAAGTTTGAAGCCCCGGGGCTTCATGACCATTACCAGTGCTCTAAGTGACATCTCCCATCCATCTATATTTCCATCTATATTTTTAAGTATCTTTTAAACATCACCAATAGAGATACTCTAATGTCTCTTGTTGAGGCCCCTATCCGGAGGTGTGAAGCTTCAATTCAAGGTGGTCCCCGTAGGAGCAGAGAAAGAATTGAAGAGAGGTAAGGAGATAAAATATGTAGAAAAAAATATCTGTAAACCTAGAAATTAAAAGAAATCATCATAAATAGAAGCAAAACATAGAGAAAATGTTAAAATAAAAGTTAATGTTTTTATCATCAAAATAGAAGTTTGCACTGTGATAACATGACACTTATGAACATTTCATAGTGCTTTTTGGTAATGTATATGGTAATAGTTGGAATAAATGAATTTTAACTCTTATTTCACGAACAAAAACATAAAATTCTTGTTTTAATATATTTTCAATATTTTATTCCAATTAAGGTTGTTTGGCAGATATCTTGGTTTGAGTGGTAATTTTCTCAAATTTTACTTTGTACTCCCTCCGTCCCAAATTAAATTGTCTGTTTCGATTTATGATATTTGATTAAATTTATTTTCAAATCATTTTATATGAAAAATGGCGTAGAATTTAAAGATAAAAATTACATATTTAAAAATTACATCAAAAGATGTACAAAACTAGTGATGACAAGATTATATTATTTTATCAAATTCCTAATGAAAATAGGAAAAAAAGTGAATAAAGTTTGACCATGTGAATAGTAAACATGCAATTTAAATTAAAATGGAGGGAGTATTTTTTACTTGCTATATCTTTTCTCATTAATATTAGTTGTCTTAGGACCCGTTTGGTAATAGTATTTTCAATATGCGTTAGTGTTTAGATAAAAATTTAACGGTGCAGATTAACTTTGAAAATGCTAAAGCTAAATGCTGCCCGTAGGTAGTTTTTTCAAAGCGCTAACGCTAGACTTTAACGCTATTCTGGAACAGGTCCTTAGTTTTTTGTGTTTTTTATTGTATTTATCTTTGTGTGTATTCTGTGAGTTTGTACTATTTGTGTTACTTGAACCCATGACTCTTGAAAGCAATCTCTCTTTTTTCGGCTAGAGATAAAGTCGGCGTACACACACCATATGCATTCTACCACAATTTGCATTAATACATAATGCATGACAGAATATTAGTATAATATTGACATTTATGTCATTGTGTTAGTTTAAAATAGACTAAATTTCATAATTGGTCCTTAGAATTGAGAATTTTTTATATTTAATCATCTATTATCAAACATTATCTACGTGGTCCTATTTTATGAGCGTTTTTCATAACTAATTCTTTTTTTGATATTTTGTCTTATTGGTGTTAATTTGAAGGCCAAAAATGTATTTTTACATCAACTTTATGTCTAGTAACTATTCTGATGTTGGTTAAATGTACAACACAACAATAATTACTATGAATGTGGACTACGATTCTGTCGAAAGATCACCTATGTAGACTATGTTTGTAGTATACAACGATTGAAAATAACAAACGAAGTATCAAGAGCGGCCTCTAGAATTGTGTATGACAGAAATTATATATAATTAGAGTAAAATCTATAAAAGGTCCCCAGTTATAGGTCGTTTTACATATCAAATATTACTAATTTAGTCCCTAATTATTATATTTATTTTCACGAATGGTCCTTTGTTAACATTTCTGTTAAGAACGTGGATAAAATTATAAATTCACACTCCTTTCTCGCCTCAATTAAGCTTCCTCCCGGCCTCCCCCCGCACTCCTTTCCCAAACCCGTTGCTGAGTTTGAAGCTTTGAACCCAAAACCAAAATCATTACTTTTCTGTCAATTGTTTGTCTAATTAGTGGAACCCAAATTCGAAACTAGTAATGTTTATTTTCTTTACAATTTCTTGAGACTAACCGATAAAGCTCACCCATAAAACTTATTGGTTTTGATTTTAGGTTCCACAAGTAAGACTAATAATTGAGAGAGAAATGATCATTTCAGTTTTAGGTTTAGAGCTTCAAACTCAGCGACGAGTTTGGGAAAGAGTACGAGAGGAGGGAGGAAGCTTTATTGAGAAGAGACAGAGGTATGAATATACAATTTTATCCACGCTCTTAACGGAATTGTTAACAATGGACCATTCATGGAAATGAATATAATAATTGGGGACTAAATTAGTAATATTTGATATATATAGATTAAATATGTAAAATGACCTACAACTAAAGATCTTTTATAGAATTTACTCATATAATTATTATGAAATTACATTTTTAGTTCTCAAATTAATACTAACATGACAAAATAAAAAAAGAGTATTTGTATAATAACCCCTTATAAAATACGGAGTATTAAATGTTTTATCCACATTCTTCCATAGAGGCACTCACTGTCTGGCAAGTTTCAATTCGACTTCACAGTCCGCCAACCTCATCCTTCTAAACACTACGGCGGCCGTGCACTGCTTGGCCGATATTAATGGAGGCTCTTTCCTTATGCTTTTCTATTCCCCCACCTTCCCCACACCACTGCAAAACCCTAATCTCCAAGCCCTACTTCACCCCGCTTCGATCATCTCACCCGACCCGGAATCTCACTTCTCATTGCTCCAATTCGCCCCAAACCCACGACTGCAAAAACCCTCACCTGCCCCCCTCTCGCCGACGCTAATATCTCATCCTTCAATCTCTTAGATATCCATCCGAACCCCCACTTCCTCTCTCTTTTGATGGGGTTATCTTTCCCCCTTTCGTGTCTTGCTTCTGAATCCGATGTGCCCACTGAAGGGATTTCCAGTAAGATCGACTTGGAGGCAATTCTGGTCTCCATTGATAATTTCTTGAATAGATACCCCTTTTTCCTTTTCGGGGTTGGGTTCATTTGGCTTGTGGTGATCCCGCTCACTGAGGAGTACTTGCAGAAGTACAAGTTCATATCTGCCATTAACGCATTCAAGAAGCTCCGGAATGACCCGATTTGTCAGATGTTGGATATTAGGGACAAGAGAGCTTTGGCATATTTGGATTCGCCCAATTTGAAAATCTTGAATAAGAAGGTGTCGCAGGTTCATTTCGTTGAAGGAAAGGACGATATTTTTGTCAAGGAAGTTTTGGAGAACTTTAGGGAGCCAGAAAGCACCACAGTTTGCATTATAGATCAGTGAGTTTTGCAGAGCCTTATGATATGCATAAAAGTTTCTATTTTTTTCTGTATACTTGTTGAAAATACAGTATTTTCAGTTGCTATGAAGTTATGTGTCTTGTAGTGCATTATAATTAATGATGTTCGAGGGTTTTCCCTGCCAATGGAGCTTTAAAAAATGGAACATTAAAATTTCGTTTTTTCCGAGACCCTACTATTGTTGGATCAAACTGGGTTGTTATTGTATCATTGTGAACATTTGTTTCTTCTTACTTTCTGTGAAGTTTTGGGCAGTAATTGAAGCAATGCATCTAGGGTTTAATTGAAGCAGCCTCCCTATTTTTTGGGATTATACTATGTTGTTGTTGGTATTTGAGGGTTTTGACAAATAATGTTTTAACTTCTGTGTGGAAGGTAGTTTCGATGGTAACTCACTCAAGGTGGCTGAATTGTTGGTGAAAAATGGTTTCAAAGAAGCCTATGCAATCCGTGGTGGGCTGAGAGGCAACAAAGGATGGCAGGTTATATATCTATCTATCTATCCTAAAGTAAATATACAGAGTATTTATGTTTGGAAAACATGTATACATTCGAAACAGCCGCATTGAATATTTACACTAAAATATGCTAACCAAAATATGGAAGTCATACCAAAAGTGGAAACAAACCAATAGTCGTGGATTCGTGGGAAAAAAGTGCAAAATTTTGAAGGTTATTACTCCATCTGTCCCAAAAAATATTATATAATTTGACTTTCGCATTGTTTAAAAAAAGCAATGAAAAAGGAAAAGTGGGGAGTGTGAGCGACATGTTTATTACGGAGTACTTCAAAAGGAAATAAAGCAAGTCAGGGGTGTTCTTTGTGACTTCCAAAAAGGGGAAGTGCAAAGTGTTTTTTTTTGGGACGGAGGGAGTATACCTCAGCTATTCTTGGTGCAGATTACTGTGAATCTTAAGATTTTGATCCTCATGTTCTAGTCCTGACTTGACATTTAATTGAATGAAACACAATTAACCATCTATTTACATTTCATGTTGATTTGTTGCAGGAGATACAAGAATCACTTCTCCCTTTATCTGTTCGTGTCTATCCCAAAAAGAAAAACAAAGAACAGAATGAGAGTGGAATAGATGCAAACCAGCCAGAGGAAGAAGACACGGATTCTGGCATAAAAAGAAGTGAACAGATTAGCAATGGATCTGCTACGAAACCCAGCCAACTCATCCCACAAACACAAAGTGGCGTGTCTCCATATTCAAATGTATGAACTCTCTTTGTTAGAATGTCATCCCACATCGGAAGTTCAAGAGCAAAATAATCGATATATAAGCTCTTGAGTTGAACTAACTAATCGATTGGATTCAATCCTTTAATGTGGTTCAACCCAAGTGTCTTATTACCCAATCGAGTTTTCCATACTCATCTCAAATTATATCATGGTATCGGAGCCAGTTTTAGCCCACCTCGTTTGTCAAGGTGTCCGTCCATTCCTAAATTCTATCACAATCTTCTCATTCCATTTAAAGATACATGTGGTTCATATTCTTTCTCTCCTGTGCACACACAATTTCACCTCCGTATCCAAATGCACGAACTCTCTCATCTCTCAATACACAAAAAAAAAACCCCCATTATTTGCACACTCCATGAAATATGAAAACCGGACGGTAATCTTTTATTAAATCGTCAACCATATCTTGGATATATGGAAAAAAATATACTGGAGTTTATGCTAATAAACCAGAAAAAGTGCCCATCCAGATGTGAAGGCCAGTTATTTAATCTCTTAGAAATATATGGTACTACATTCAGAAAGTCACTATGTTTTAATACTATTTATGCAAATTTCTCATACTCTCATCCATAAATTAACTTTTTACTTTGAACATGGTATAATATCTTATTTCTTTTAAAATTATTTTATTTACAAAATGATAAATAAAAAAATGTAAATTATGTATTCTAAAAAGGCATGAAAAATTTTATAAAACAAGCATGACAATAATATTTTATTTAATCAAATCAATAATAAAAATATATGCATAAGTAAAAAAGAATTATTGAGAATTTAGATTAATTATAGAAAAGATAATTTCTAGACAGAGAATGTAGTAATTAATGATGAATTTTAATACTTGTACTTAGGGCTGGACACGGTACCGGTTCAGTACCGTCACTGGAAACGGTACCGCCGGTACCGAGCACCGTAACGGCAACCGGGACAGCGAAACGGTTCCGAGAACCGGCACCGGTACCGCCACATCCGGTCTCGGTTCCGGTGCCCCAAAATCGTTACCGGCACCGCCGGTACCGGTTCCGGTACCGGTTTTTTTTTTCTCCTTTTTGCTCTCCAACAGATACCTGCACAAAAAAACAAAGTTAGTGGGGGGGGCGGCCAAAACGGCTAATTGGGGTCATGGGGAGGCGGGGTTATTTTTTTTATAAATACTCATTTTTTTTTTTAAATTCTAAAAAAATCACACTCATCAATCCATATCCATCTCTCTTACTCTCTAATCTCTATTCTCTCATTCTCTCAAATTTCAATATCTCAATCTATCATTTTAATTTCTCAATCTTAATATCTTATTATCTCTTTTATACATTATTTTTAGAAAAAATTATATTTTAATATAAAAAATTTCGAAATTATTTGAAATTTTCGAAATTTAATATCTACTATATATATAAAAGCTGATGAGAAATTTTTGCCAAAATCAGGTTCCAATTTTGCCGCCAAAAACTAAGATCTAAGGCTCCAGTTTTTATCTAAATACTCTGCACAAATCTAGACCGTTGATTAGATGAAATGGCAATTGTGTAAAAAAACAAAGTTGATGGCCATTATTAATGAATATAGCACGGCAAAGTCTGGCCCCTTTCCCTACACATACCTATCCTGTCCCCAATTATCGCTACACAACCCAACATTTTCCGGCAAAAGACATCGCCGGCGGCATTTTCCGGCGACCAAATTTCGCCTAACCTCATTATTTTAGAATTTTTGTGGGCATCATTTCAGAACCAAATTGAGTTGTGCCTGGACCAAGTTAGAAGAATAGAAGATCTGGAGAAGATTTGAAGAAGAAAAGAAAGAAGAAGAGATGACGATGGAGGGCGGCTGGACCAAATCGAAAGGGTGGGGGAGAATAAAGAAAGAAAGAAGAAAGAAGGAAACAAGATGATGATGAAAAATAGATAGGTGGAAGGGTGAGAAGAAAAGAGGGATGAAGAAGGAAAGAACAATAAGAAAATAAGAAGGAGCGGAAGAAGAAATGAAAAAAGAGAGAAGAATGAGAGATGAAAATTGGTAACCTTCTGAAGAGAAGAAGAAGAAATGAGAAAAGAAAAGTTCGTAATAAGGAAGGGAAATGGGGCTGCAGCAGGGATGAAGAAGGAAAGAGGAAAGAAATATTACTTCCCTCCCAGTGTATTGGTCCAGTTTGACTTTTTCGAGTCAAACTGGACATTGAGCTTTAATTAAATAAAAATCGTAATATATTTTAACATAAAAATAACTTTATAGGATTTGTCGCACTGAGAACTTTAAAAATTGTATTTCATTATACTAATATGCAATATAAATTGAGAGTGATTGGAGTTCAATGTTTGTTCAGTTTAACTCGAAAAAGTCAAACTGGACAAATACACTAGGACGGAGGTAGTAAGTACAAAATTTTAAATTTAGGGGTACTTAACTTAATTCTTTTTAACAAAGAAAATTTATCAAGAAAAGAAAATGAAAAAATTATTTGTGGACTGTGAACTTAAAAATTGAACATAGGGAATATTAATTTTTGTACTAGCATCATTATTTTAACTTGCCTTTCATTTTTCTTTCAAACACTTCTAAATTGAATGAGCTATGCTTTATCATTATATTTCTTAAATGAAACATATTTTAATATTGAATTAGATCATTAAATATTTTTTCCTTTTAAATTAAACTAATTTATGTTTTTTGTTATGGTATAAAAGTAAAGCATATGTGTAAAACTCAAGACATAATTAGTGTTATTTGTAACGTATTTTTATGAATTTTTCACAATTGGCGGTTGAGTTGTGCAATAAATTATTTTCTACGGAGTATTATTATTAGAATTATTAATCTTATTTATTTTTTTATTTTCTTGATTGTATAAAAAATCAAACAAATAAAATGGGACAAAAAATTTGAACAAATTCTATATAAAAATGGAAAAAAAGAGATTTAAAATAAATATTGAAAGAATAAGAGATAGAAAAATAAAAAAATACCAAGTTAATTTTAGTTATTATTTTAAAAAATAGAATTTAACCTGAGTAGAAATATATAAATATTAAATAAAATTAAAAATACAATCATTACAATGAAAATGAGACATTACATACGAGTGTAAATTTAGTTAAATTATGAGTGTAACCGGTGTTGATGATATCATTGGGAGTTTCATTTCAATTCATATTTTTTCCTGATCTATTAGATTAGAAATGTTTCTCTTTATAAGGTTAGTTGACAATGTAATCTCAACGTATAAAATTGGATTTGGATGTGGACAAGGTATCTAGATCAATATTATCTCATTATTAAATATTGATATAATTTTTTATAAAAGTTATTTTCAATTCAATTTGGTTGGGAAATTGATATTGAATTAAAATTTAAAAGATACTCGGAGTAAAATTTTATATATTTAAGACTTATAACATAATTCTATTATAAAAAAAGTGACAAAACTATTTCATTTTTTTAAAAAAAGTGGATAAAGCAGATAAAATTTAATCGTGTAAATAGTCAATATGAATTTCATTTTAGCACCAAAGAAATGTCATTCAATGTTATACATTAAAGAGCAAGAGTCATTGAAGTTTGTTAGAGTATAAAATCCTTCCTGTGTCGAAAGTCACAACTTTGTGTTTTTTATTTATATTCGGTGTTTATTAAAGACTAGATTTTACCGGTGCGTTGCACCGTAAGTAATTTATTTCAAAGTGTAAATTATAAAAACTTCATTAAATTAAATGTCTGTATACAAACTTAAATATAGAATTAAACATATATAGATTCAACATGATATATACTTCGTCTATCCCATAAAAACTTAACTCGTTTTGATATTTGAAAAATTACGAAGTATTAAAAATAAAGAATAAATTCCATAAACAGTTCCTAATTAGTGATTTTCCATATTTAATATCCAATTATAAGATATTACATAAATGATCCTTAATTTTTGAAAATAATTTCATAATTAAAGTGTGTTAATAAAAATAATTAAAAAAACCACTTTAGAAAATAGTACAATTATACATTGGTAGTATTAAAATATGTATTTTTTAAATGTTATCGACTTGGTTACATTATACTCCGTAGTACTATCAATTTATAATATTAGAATATATATATTTCCTTCATTTAAAAAATATTATGAAGCACTTATATTCAGTGAATATGAAAAAGGGTAAAGCATAGCATATCCCCAAGAGCATCTAATAATGTATGAATAACTCAAATGTATTTTTATTTCTCTAGGATAAACCTAATATTGTATGTGTTAATGCTTCATTAATTTCCATGAAAACACATACATACACATACTTTATACATTTGAAAGTAAAGTAAAAGCAAAACCCACTTGATAGGGGCATACAATACTCCAATACCAAACACAAATAAGCATATAATAAAACTCAAAAGAGTAAATATCCCAAGAGTATAAATTTGTCAAGGTTTAGGATGCCCAAAAACAAAGCTCGAAAAGACAAAAAGTAGTTTCCAGACTGCCTTCCTCA